AACCCCAGTTATGTTTGTCTTTATTTCCTTGCTTGATTGTTTAGTTTTATTTTAAATAAAAAACAGTAAGTTTAGCTAATCACAAATAATACCTCAGAAATAGTCTACAAATATTTCAACTATTTTAATGTCTCAGCAAAATCTTGGGGGCTTAAAATTTAAAGTTTGCTAAAAGATTGGAATGCTGGCTAACATCTTAGAAAAAAATCAATTTAGTTTTGGTCACTTCCTCTGGCTAGCTCAGTACACTAATAATGACAATAGCTGGCATGCATTATATGCCACCTGTTTGCCAAGTTCTCCTTCTTGCTAAGCATGGTCCCCCTCAGTAGAATGTCTACTCCATGAAGACAGGGATTTCCATCTATATTGTTTACTGCTGTATTCATAGCTCCTAGATTCTTTCCTGGCATACCATAGGTGCTCAGTATATATTTTTGAACAAACTAAAGAATAAAAGTCTGTTTTAATCCTTATGTAATTCAGTTTCATGAAGTTTATATTGTTATTATCATCATTTCTGTTTTTGTGGATGAAGAAATTGATAATTGGAGCTCCTAGGATTATACGGCTAATACATGGCAAAAGTGGGATTTGAACTGTCTACCTCCGCTGTACAAGTTCCTAAAAATTGGGTTATCCCAGATGAATTTAAAAAGTTTTATTAAAAGCAGAATAAAATTTAAGAAAAAAAAATTGAATCAATCTCTCTCTCTCTATATATATATATATGCCTTCTAAAATTAGAACTGAGTATAAAGAAAAATGTCAATTGCTTTAATATGAAAAATATTTTAATTATTATGAGTATAAAAAGCATATATCCATAACATGTAAGAGAACAAGACTGTACTTACAAGTTTGACAAATAATTCATTTACTTTTTATGCATAGTTGCTGATAAAATGGATAAAAAGACACTTGATAAGTGGTGAAATGCCATAAACCTTTCATCCAAAAGGGAAACTGTAACTAATAAATAAACACATGGAAAAATTTTCATCCCCTTACAAAGTAGAGGTAAAGCAATGACTGAGGTACAGAATTTCCCTCAGGAATTTTCTCACCTCTCCTCCTCTCCCCTTCTCTCCCCTCCTCCTCACCCCCTCCTTACCCCTCCTCTACTCTCTTCTTTTCTTTTTCCTGGCGAGTTTGAACTCAGGGGCTTGCACTTGCTAGGCAGGTGCTGAATCACTGAGCCTGCAGCATTCCCTCTGAAGATACTATCAGGGTATTTCCTGATCGGTGCTCTTTCAGCTTCCCAGTGAAAGACATAAGGATCCATGAAGATAGTTTTCTTTCAGAATAGTAAAAATGAAAGCTAACAATTAGACTTTTCCAAGAGGTGGGGAAACCTTTTTCTTTTTCCAAATGGCACCCAAATATGAGAACTGCAAAGGATAATCTATGTCTACTGTCCCCTGTGCAAGAAAAAGCAGAGTGGGCTAGGGAAGAAGGAGGAACACTTGACCTTTCATCTTTGCTGAAACATGAAAACCTCAGAAGGGGTCCACCATCCAAAAACCTGGGCAGGGACCCCAGCACTGTACAGATTAAAGAAGTATTCCAGCCAATGAAATCTAAGTCTTCTGACTAAGAGCTAAGGGGGAGGAGGTTGTTCTGTCATCATCAGGGTGCCTGTGCAGGCATTGCAGTGGATTTGTGCTCAGTCCAAATAATGGTGTTTGCATAACTAAACGCATGTGTCACAGGGGATCCCTGAAAAAGCTCATGAAACATAGAGATAATAATTATGATCTAAAGATAACATCGCAGATCACAATAGCTAAACAGATATGGAAGTGAGGGTAATGAAAGGCTACTAAATGCTTCATGTTACATTTTGTTTCATTTTATACTTTGATAAGGCGAGAAATGATTATTTTTTTAAAAACAGATTAATACAAAAGTATGTTTTTGAGGATATTAAAAATAATTGGTGTTAGACTCAAAACTAGAATATATTTTCATATCAGTGTGGGAGAATAAAAGCAAAATTTTCCTGTAGCAAAGACAAAACAATGGAAAAGGGAAGGAAAGTAAACATAGTGTAAAATAATAGAATAAAAGGCATGTTAATTATGACAATAAATGTAAAATTGTTGAGATTTTATGTATCTGTCAGGATTTTTTGGTTGCAAGTTTGAGAATCCCAATTTGAACCAACTCAGTTCTGATTCATATGACTAGAGTAGGGGAAAGTAGAGGTAAAGACTGGTCCTTGAGGGCTAAATGAAGTCAGAAGCTGGAATCCCCCTGGGCTTCCCTCATTCCCACGTCTGTCTTTCAGTCTGTGTGCCAGCTTTATTTGATCAGAGTAAGCTTGCCCATCCTTGGCCTCAGCACCTGGCCAAGAAGGCAGGAAGAACAGGGAGGCCCTTGCTAAGAACCAAGGAGAGCAGGGAGGAGCAGAAGAAGAATAATGCCCCAGAAGGATGGGGATGTTTGATGCCTTTCCTACGAGAATAGAAGAGGAACTCCACTCAAAGTAATAAATATAAAATTGTATTATAGGCCACATGTCAAAAAATGACCCGGACACTTTTAAAAATAAAAAGATCCAAGATACAAACAAAAGGTAAAGAAATAAAGCAATTGGCAATGTTAATATTTATGCTAAGTAGAAAGTAAGGTAAAAGGCTTGGACCTTTTATATTGATAAAAGATGCAATCAGCAGTGATTATTTAACAATCCTAAATATCACCAAATAACACTGTAGCACTATCTACCAAACTAAACTTGTTAGGACCCTGGAGAGGCAGAGGCTGCATCATAGCATAAGGACTAAAGATGCCTGAGTTTTGACCCTGGCTTTTCTCTTTATAGCTAGGTGACGTTGGGCACTTTGACACTTGCGTTTAGTTATGCAAGCACCATTATTTGGACTGAGCACAAATCCACTGCAATGCCAGCACAGGCACTCTGATGATGACAGAACAACCTCCTGGCTCTCCATTTCCTAATCTAGAAAACATAGATAATAATAGCATCTACCTTAAATTTGTGGTGGGGGGGTAAATTAATTAATTCACAGAAAGTGCTTAATATAGCACCTGACAGGTGGTAAATTTAAAAAAAAGATATATAGGAAAAAAAGAGGAAATTTTTTATAATAATGTTAGTGCAATGTTTAATATAACATGTTGATAAAAAAGACTTTAAATGTGATCTGAAAGTTGAGCATATCTATATATTCTGAGGCTATAACAAGGAGCACACCTCCTTATGAGCATTAATGGGCACCCTGTATTACAACAGAAATCCTGGTAACAGACTCAAAGGAGATGGTATGCTGTGTTGCAGCAGGTCTCTGGAATGAGCGAAGCTGATTTACATTTTGCGTTCACTGTAGCTGCTGTAGGGAGTCAGAACTGTAGGGGAAGGAGCAATAGGAGACTGCCTGGGAAGCAGTGGTGGTCCTCCAGCCTGGAGACGATGGTGGTTTAAATGAAGGTGTGAGTAGTGGAGGAGGCATGGAGATCCTGCATAGTGCCATATTTGCAGGTGAAGCCAACAGAACCTGTTGAATGGTTAAACACAGTGTGGATGACAGAGAGGGAGCAATTGTGATGACCGAGAACGTGGTGAGGAGGGGGTTTAGATGGAGGAGGCAGAAGCATGGGTTCTGCTTTTAACGTCTGGTACCAGTGTCCTAGGGCTGCCCTAACATAATACCAAAAATTGAGTGGCCAAAAGCCACAGAATTTTATTGTTTTACAGTTGTACAGGTTAGGAGTCTGAAATCAAACTGTTGACAGGGCCATGCTCTCTGTCAACTCTAGGGCAGAATTCTTCCTTGCCTCTTCTAGCTTCTGGGCTTTGCAGTCAGGGCCTCAGGCTTGCTAGTCAGGCACTCCACCATTTAAGCCACTCTGTTAGCCCAAGCTTCTGGGCTTTGGTAACAGTCCTTGTTGCTCCATGGCTTATAGATGTATCCCTCCTTTACATGGTGGTCTTCTCTCTGTGTCTTCCCTCTGCACGTGTCTGTTTATGTCTAAATCTCCCCTTATAGGACACCAGTTTTATTGAATTTGGACCCTAATGACCTAATTTTAACTTGATTTTCCTTGTACAGAACCTATTTCCAAATAAGGTCACATTCTGAGGTACTGAAGGGTAGGACTTCAACATATCTTTTTTAGGGGACAAATTCAGTTCATAACATCTGTTAAATGTAACTATTAACTATTCAAGTGGAGATACCAAGTAAGGAATCAGATGGATACATTGTCCATTTGGCTTTCATCCAATCTTTCTGTGTTACAAATCACATTGCATTGAGCATCTTCAGGTATACAGGTTGTTCTATATTTTGAATTTTGTTTGGAATTGATTTTTCAAAGGAAAGCAGCTCTTAATATATATCATTAAAATATTTTGAAAAAGTGTGAAATCAATTATAAATGTATTATTCTACAGGGGAAAAGGATATAATGGTTTATGGCACAGAAAAGTTTATATATGGAGCAACAGAAAGCAAAATATTCTGATCTTCTGCCTTCTATTTTCTTAATTTAGTACATTTGCTTTCTGGCACTGCTAGACACTGATAAAGCAGCAATTTAGCTGAAGAGTTTCCAGGTGCATAGAATTAAGTAACATAGTTCTATACCCACAAACAAATTGGAGAGCCACATTTTAATGTATATAAAATACTATGTACTGATTTTATGAATGAGGGTATCAATAATATTGGGTTTAGATCTTAGAAAATTTTATTCATTTATTCTCTTATTCACTTATTTTTATTTAAAAAATACTTCCTCGCTTCTATTACATCCCAGTCACTGTATGGATGGTGGGTTTCAGTAGACAATAAGACTAAATAGTCTCATAAATAGCAGGGTAAGACCAGGGTGCTACTGGGGCATACAGAGGAAACACAGAATTCCCTTTGAGGACGTCTTGGGGTGCAGGGAGGTTTTCTGGAAGAAGAGACTTATGAAATAGCACACAAGAGCTGTTTCATTTTACATTTAAAACATTTTCTCTATTTTAGTGCTGCAATAGTATATTCTACACTTAAACTTCTCCAAGATTCAAAACTTTTTAAAAAGAAGACAGCACAGGATGACACAGAGAGTTCCAGCTCTTCAGGGACTTCTGTATGTATAAATTTCCCTTTTATCTATCCATAAAATACTTATAACTATAAGCATGCCAGGAAATTGTCTAATTAGTTATTTGGATGACTTAAAGGAGTGAAGTAGGAAAAACATGGAATTCAGGGTAAAAGATCTATGTTTTAATTCCATTTATTATATTTATTGACTGGAATATCTTGAGACACTCTCTTAATTTCTTTTTAAAATTTTGTAGCCTCATTTGTAAGCTGATGGAATTGGATATGATAATCATTAAAATACCATCCAGATGTATCATTGTAGCAGTCTAGATATGATCTCTCCAGAAAATAAAATTGTTTACTTTCTACTTTTGAGTTTATTACCTGGCATTGCCAGCAAGACTCCTGTGCTATTTCCTGCTTTGGATTTCTCATGGTTAAAGCCCTCCATACTTAAGTTCTCAAATCTATTTGACAACTGGTCAAAAATTCTGTGATTGGACTTTGATAAAACCACAGAATTTAATAATATAAGATTGGGATTATAAAATAAAAAGGTCCATTGCATAGAATCCTTGCTCATTATTTCAAGCATTACTAATAAAATTGCTAATATCCAGCATCATTACAGATTAGTAAAACTAATTGTCCTAAATAGAGACTCATTTCTAACTATATTAAAGCAGTAACAATCCTAAGAAGCAATCTAATTCTGAAAATAGACTTATACCAATGGTTGTCAATCAGAGGTAATTCTACCTCCCAGGAGACATTTGGCAATGTCTAGAGACATTTTAGTTGTCGCAGGTAGAGGGAGGTGCTGCTGGCATTGACTGGGTAGAGGCACTGGATGCTGCTAAACATCCGTAATGTATAAGACAGCCCCTCCCCCTCCCCCTGCCGCAGCAATAATCTGGCCTAAATATAAGAGTGTTAAGATTGCGAAATGCTGAAATGAGGTGGGGGTGGCCTTTTCATTAGTTGCAGAAAATGTAAGCTTTTTATTGATGGGTTTTTTTTTTTTGGTATTTTTAATCTGAATATGGGAGTCTTCAAGTACTTGGCCCATTCTAATTACTCTCCTGCCTGTGAGCCTCTGCTCATGGCTGACTCTTATTCCTAGAAATGACTCACTTTTCCTGTCTGCCACCTGTCTGTGAACATGCTAGCTCCCATCCAGTTCCATTAGCCATTCCTGGACAGCATTTGCTGATTGGTTGGACATGATGAGCTGTCAGAGACAAATAGCAGGAAATTCTAGAACAAGTTGGGATTGTTCTAGATGATTTTAAAGTTCCCAAGTGCCCACGATGTCCATTAGAAAAAGCTTTTTCTGCACCTCCTTCTCAGTAGCTCTGGACACTTATCACCTGTGTGTACAGTATAATAGCAAGGATGGCCATCAGTTGTAAAATGTGTTTGAAATGTAACACAGGGGACTTGAAATTTGGGAGGACACAAGTTGAGGTCCCACCTCTGCCAAAAAATGCTGGAGTTTAAGCAAGATGCTTAACCTCTCTAGGTTTCAGTTCCTATTATGTAAAAAATTATGTTTACAAAAATTTTTAATGACATGGAAACTGCTGATAATATAGTTTGCAAAGCAAAATTCAGACTACAAAAACTATTTTTCAATAGTTTGAAACAGAGAGAAGAAAAGCTGAAAACTAGTATCAAAATGTTAATAGAGGCTTGGGTAGAATAGTGGGTAGTTTTATTTATGTGTTTAATATATATTTCATAGAATATGCAAGAATAATTTCTAAATTTAGAACTTAATACAGTGAAATAATATCAATGCTTCTCTTAACTTATGCTTAGTCTTAGGTTGGACCTTTGACATTATTTTTTTCTATTTACCTCGAAAAAATACTTATTATTCCACACTTTCTGGGGGTCAGAAATTTGGGAGCAGCCAAGCTGGGTAGCTCCGGCTCAAGGTGCCTCATGAGATTGCAGTTAGCATGTTGGCTAGGGCTGCAGACATCTGAAAGCCAGACTGGGGCTGGAGAATCCACTTCTTTTTTTTTTTTAAATTATAAATATTTTATTAGGATATATTCATTACATGGGGGGATTCGTAGTAACAATTCTGATTAGTCTTATATTGTACATTATTTACATTGCCCCCATCATCTCTCCCCTTTAGCTCCCTCCTCACCGCACTTAAAGCATTTGCAAGAGGTTTTTTAGTTCTGTTTCACGTAGGTATATGAAGTCCATCAACCATATACTGTCACCTTAATCTCCTTCCTTTACCCTCCCCGCTCCCACTAGTACCCCTGCACATACTGTACCAATTTTACAGTCCTGGTTTTCATAATTAATATTTGAGTTGACGTTCAAAGGGGTGTCTCAATGTATGCCCTCTGTGGGTGTGCTTTACTTTGGTCTGTTCAATCCCTTCGAATACTCTCCCTTATCCCTTTACCTCCCATCCCTCCCAATTTTTCAACAGCTTTCAGTACACTTCCTTATATCCTCTATCTTTACATCTAATAGTATGCAATATTACTGATGTTCTGTCATTATCTTTTCCTTTTCCTCTTTCCCCAAGTTCCATAGAGTAGTGGACCTTTGACATTATGAAATGGAAAGATAACTTCATCTTTTTAATGTTATTTAGGCCACAGAGGGTAAAGATGATGAGTTTTTAGACCCTATTTCTCTAAATGCCCGAGAGTATTTCAACATTCATCTGTGGTTGAGGTGCCGCTTAGCCCTGGTGACTGCGTTTGTCGCCCAGATTCGTGGCATTGGAATTGTGAAAGGTACAAATAAATGTCCTATTTTCTTAATGTTTTTTGTAACAATTTTACATAGGTGAAGGGAATTTTATCAGGACTTACTTATATTCATATTTTAGCTTGATCTGTTTCCATAGTTAAAATTTCAGGTTGCTAAATAAAAGTAATCATTTCTAGCAGTTGTTTGTATCAGTGAAAATGGCATATATGGTACTTACCCATGTAAGAGATTACCATGTAACATGTTACCATGTAACAGCAAGGAGATTTTGTTTGTTTTTTTTATTCATATGTGCATACAATGTTTGGGTCATTTCTCCCCCCTTCCCCCACCTCTGCCTTACCCCCCACCCAACCCCGCCGCCTCCCCCTCCCTTTCCCCTCCATCCCCTCGCTACCAGGCAGAAACTATTTTGCCCTTATCTCTAATTTTGTTGAAGAGAGAGTATAAGCAATAATAGGAAGGACCAAAGGTTTTCAGCAAGGAGATTTTAAGACACATATGCCCAAGTCTCCTTGTCACTTAGGAAGATGGCTAAGCATAGGAGTGAAGAACACAGATTGTGGGCCACAAACCTGAGTTGAAATTCTGAGTCTGCCATTTCCTTACCAAGTCTTTCTTGGCCAGGCCTCTCAATCTTTCTGTGCCTCAGTTTCCTACCCTGTAAAATGGAGATGACTGTTTCTCTCTCCTAGGATTGTTAGTAGAATTGAATGGGTTAAATTTATAGTCTTCGATAATAGCCTGGCACATATACATGGTAGTTCTTGCACTGACTGGTAATTATCTGTTTCTATACCCATCTATTCACCCATCTCCTAAATTAGATCATTTCATGCAATTTTATTCCTCTTTTAGCACTGGATTATCCTAAAGTACTTTCCCCTATATTATAACACATTTCTGTTCCATGTTTCATTTATCTTTCTTCTTAATATCCTCTTGTTCTTCAACCTAACACAGTTGTCCTGTGACAAACATTAGGAAGGTCACACACAAACTTTCTTTGTGCATTTAAAATAATAATGTTTGTGTGTTGTAGAGAAGGATCTGACAGATTGTTTGAGCCTCATCAATGAAGTGTGTATGGAAGCAAAAAGTGCAGACGACACAGAGCTGCAGGCTGAATTCTTGATGCAAGCTGTAATCCTTGGCCTACAAGAAAAGCATTTAAAGACAGACATTATAAGAAATCTTCAGGTAGGAAGGAAACCTTGGTAATGCTTGTATTTAGGAAAGATTTGGGTTTTAACAAAAGGAGGGAATTTTAAATCCCTTTTAAATTGTACTGACTGCATAATAGTCAACATGGTCAGCTCTTGCTTCAGTGAATTGAGAAAGGTCCTATCAAATGGAATCATTTTTATTTTAATAGGATATAATACATTTGCTTGAAGGAAGTGAATTTATTTCTCCTCGATCATGGTTAACCCTGGTAAGAAGCCTAGTTCTACTGGATGACTTAACAAAAGCTGAGAAATTCAAGCAGTCTTCCTCTTCAAAGCAAGAAAAATTAAATATTTTGACTCAGGCTCACAGAATTCTTATTGAACAGGTGAAAATACTTTTATGTTTACAAGATTTAGAAATTTGCTTTTCTGAATTTTTTTTTCTTATTCCAAACCATATTAACTAATTAATTGCTCATTGCAATTTTTCTTTTATAGATGCTAACTTTTGGAGAAACAATTGAATTTCCTTTATCAAACACTGAATATGCAAATCCATTGCAGCCTTTGAAAAATATCTATCTTCCTCATGTCATGTTATTGGCCAAAATAAAAATGAGAATTGGTAAGAACATTTAAACATATATCATGCTAGAGTGACTGATATAAAATTTTAAGTTATTTTCAGGTAAATTATCATATGAATGCATTTTAAGGGGGCAAAATTTATGAATACTTGGGCTCCATTTACTTAACAAATAGGTTTTGATCATTGACCATGTGCCATACTCTGTGATGTATGAGTGGTCTTCATAAATAAAGTATGAAGTTGACTGCAATAATTATACTTTGTAGCTACTTGCTCTGAGCTATCACATTTTCTCCAATTAGTTGATCATTTGCATTGAAATTTTTCCCACAGTCTACCTTAAAATTATTGTATGTTTCAGCAACTTTATTGAAGAAATTGAACAAACACAAAATACAGGTGCATTTTGTAAATAACATACTTTTTTGTCCACTAAATTATACCTACTTTCTTTATACTTACAACAAATTGGTAAAAAAGATTTTAGAGAGAAATATATAAAAAGGAATTATGTCTTTTAGGTTATAATTGATACTATTAAGTTCCATACCCTTTTCTTATTAGCACAAATTAATTGTCAAAAATAATGAATTTCATTATGATATATGTATCTATGTACATGTATATATTTTGGCCATATTTCCCCACAATATACTCTCTTGTACTCCCCCTCTGCAGTCCCCTTCACATTTCCAAATAGCGCCCCTCCTACTTTCATGACTTTTTTTTTTTATTATTCATATGTGCACAATGTTTGGGTCATTTCTCCCCGCTTCCCCCACCCTCTCCCTTACCGCTCCCCACCCCCTCGATATCCGGCAGAAACTATTTTGCCCTTATCTCTAATTTTGTTGAAGAGAGAGTATGAGCAATAATAGGAAGGACCAAGGGTTTTTGCTAGTTGAGATAAGGATAGCTATACAGGGCATTGACTCACATTGATTTCCTGTGCATGTGTGTTACCTTCTAGGTTAATTCTTTTTGATCTAACCTTTTCTCTAGTTCCTGGTCCCCTTCTCCTATTGACCTCAGCTGCTTTTAAGGTATCTGCTTTAGTTTCTCTGCGTTGAGGGCAACAAACGCTATCTAGTTTTTTAGGTGTCTTACCTATCCTCACCCCTTCCTTGTGTGCTCTCGCTTTATCATGTGATCAAAGTCCAATCCCCTTGTTGTTTTCGCCCTTGATCTAATGTCCGCATATGAGGGAGAACATACGATTTTTGGTCTTTTGGGTCAGGCTAACCTCACTCAGAATGATGTTCTCCAATTCCATCCATTTACCAGCGAATGATAACATTTCATTCTTCTTCATGGCTGCATAAAATTCCATTGTGTATAAATACCACATTTTCTTAATCCATTCATCAGTAGTGGGGTATTTTGGCTGTTTCCATAACTTGGCTATTGTGAACAGTGCCGCAATAAACATGGGTGTGAAGGTGTCTCTAGAGTAACCTGTGTCACAGTCTTTTGGGTATATCCCCAAGAGTGGTATTGCTGGATCATATGGTAGATCAATGTGTAGATTTTTAAGTAGCCTCCAATTTTTTTCCCGGAGTGATTGTACTAGTTTACATTCCCACCAACAGTGTAAGAGGGTTCCTTTTTCCCCCGCATCCTCGCCAACACCTTTTGTTAGTGGTGTTGCTAATGATGGCTATTTTAACAGGGGTGTGGTGGAATCTTAGTGTGGTTTTAATTTGCATTTCCTTTATTGCTAGAGATGGTGAGCATTTTTTCATGTGTCTTTTGGCCATTTGAATTTCTTCTTTTGAGAGAGTTCTGTTTAGCTCACTTGCCCATTTCTTTATTGGTTCATTAATTTTGGGAGAATTCAGTTTTTTAAGTTCCCTGTATATTCTGGTTTTTAGTCCTTTGTCTGATGTGTAGCTGGCAAATATTTTCTTCCATTCTGTGGGTGTTCTCTTCAGTTTAGAGATCATTTCTTTTGTTGAGCAGAAGCTTTTTAGTTTTATGAAGTCCCGTTTATCTATGCTATCTCTTAGTTGCTGTGCTGCTGGGGTTCCATTGAGAAAATTCTTACCTATACCTATTAATTCCAGAGTATTTCCTACTCTTTCCTGTATCAACTTTTAGAGTTTCTGGTCTGATATTAAGATCCTTGATCCATTTTGAGTTAATCTTGGTATAGGGTGATATACATGGATCTAGTTTCAGTCTTTTGCAGACTGCTAACCAGTTTTCCCAGCAGTTTTTGTTGAAGAGGCTGCTATTTCTCCATCGTATATTTTTAGCTTCTTTGTCAAAGACAAGTTGGTTATAGTTGTGTGGCTTCATATCTGGGTCCTCTATTCTGTTCCACTGGTCTTCATGTCTGTTTTTGTGCCAGTACCATGCTGTTTTTATTGTTATTGCTTTGTAATATAGTTTGAAGTCAGGTATCGTGATACCTCCTGCATTGTTCTTTTGACTGAGTATTGCCTTGGCTATTCGTGGCCTCTTGTGTTTCCATATAAATTTCACGGTAGATTTTCAATCTCTTTAATGAATGCCGTTGGGATTTTGATGGGAATTGCATTAAACATGTAGGTTACTTTTGGGAGTATCGACATTTTTACTATGTTGATTCTACCAATCCATGAGCATGGGAGATCTCTCCACTTTCTATAGTCTTCCTCAATCTCTTTCTTCAGAAGTTTATAGTTTTCCTTGTAGAGGTCATTCACATCCTTTGTTAGGTTTACACCTAGGTATTTAATTTTTTTTGAAGCTATTGTAAATGGAATTTTTTTCATATATTCTTTTTCAGTTTGTTCATTATTAGTGTATAGAAATGCTAATGATTTTTCTGTGTTGATTTTATATCCTGCTATCTTGCTATAGCTATTGATGGTGTCTAGGAGCTTTGAGTAGAGTTTTTTGAGTCTTTAAGGTATAGGATAATATTGTCTGAAAATAGGGATATTTTGACAGTTTCTTTACCTATTTGTATTCCTTTTATTCCTTCTTCTTGCCTAATTGCTCTGGCTAGGAATTCCAGTACTATGTTGAATAGGAGTGGAGATAGTGGGCATCCTTGTCTGGTTCCTGATTTTAGAGGGAATGGTTTCAGTTTTTCTCCGTTAAGTATAATGCTGGCTGTAGGTTTGTCATATATAGCTTTTATAATGTTGAGGTACTTTCCTTCTATTCCTAGTTTTCTTAGAGCTTTTATCATGAAGTGGTGTTGGATCTTATCAAAGGCTTTCTCTGCATCTATTGAGAGAGATGATCAAGTGGTTTTTGTCTTTGCTTCTGTTAATGTGGTTTATTACGTTTATTGATTTTCGTATGTTGAACCACCCTTGCATCCCTGAGATGAAGCCTACTTGGTCGTGGTGAATAATGTTTTTGATGTGTTGTTGAATTTGGTTTGCCATTATTTTGTTGAGGATTTTTGCACCAATGTTCATTAAGGAGATTGGCCTATAGTTCTCCTTTTTCGAGATGTCTTTGCCTGGTTTTGGGATAAGTGTAATACTGGCTTCATAAAATGTGTTAGGCAGTTTTCCTTCCTTTTCTATTGCGTGGAACAGTTTAAGGAGGGTTGGTGTCAGTTCTTCTTTAAAGGTCTGATAGAATTCAGCAGAGAATCCATCGGGTCCTGGACTTTTCTTTTGAGGAGACTCTTGATTGCTACTTCAATTTCATTTTGTGTTATAGATCTATTCCGGTGATTAATATCCTCTTGGTACAGTTTTGGATGATCATATGTATCTAGAAATCTGTCCATTTCTTTAAGATTTTTGAATTCATTTGAATATATGTTCTCGAAGTAGTCTCTGATGATTTCCTGGACTTCCATGGTATTTGTTGTTATCTCCCCTTTTGCATTCCTGATTCTACTAATTTGGGTTTTTTCTTTCCTCATTTTAGTCAGGTTTCCAGGGGTCTGTTGGTCTTGTTTATTTTTTCAAAGAACCAACTTTTTGTTTCATTAATTCTTTGTATGGTTTTTTTTGGTTTCTATTTCATTGATTTCAGCTCTTATTTTTATTATTTCTCTCTTTCTATTTGTTTTGGGATTTGCTTGTTCTTGTTTTTCTAGGAGTTTGAGATGTATCATTAGGTCATTGATTTGGGATCTTTCAGTCTTTTTAATATATGCACTCCTGGCTATAAACTTTCCTCTCAGGACTGCCTTTGCTGTGTCCCATAGGTTCCGGTAGGTTGTGTTTTCATTTTCCTTGTCTTCCCGGAACTTTTTAATTGCCTCTTTTATTTCATCAATGACCCATTGTTCATTAAGCAATGAGTAATTCAGTTTCCAGCTGTTTGCATGTTTTTTGTCTTTACTTTTGTTGTTGAGTTCTAGTTTTATTGCATTGTGATCAGATAGAATGCAAGGTTTAATTTCTGTTTTCTTATATTTGCTGAGACTTGCTTTGTGCCCTAGGATATGATCTCTTTTGGAGAAGGTTCCATGGGCTGCTGAGAAGAATGTATATTGTGTAGAAGTTGTATGAAATGTTCTGTAGACATCAAGTAGGTCCATTTGATCTATTGTATATTTTAGATCTAGGATTTTTTTATTGATTTTTTTGTTTGGATGACCTATCTATTGATGATAATGGGGTGTTAAAGTTTCCCACAACCACTGTGTTGGAGTTAATATATGCTTTAGGTCCTTCAGGGTATGTTTGATGAAATTGGGTGAGTTGACATCATGTCTCGTTTTTTAAGTGTAGATTCTTCATATGAGAGAAAGCATGCAATATTTGTCTTTCTGAGTCTGACTTAATATGCTTAATGGCACGATCTCCAGTTCCAGGTATTTTCTTGAAAATGATATAATTTCCTTCTTCTTTGTGGCCAAGTAATAGTTCAGTGTGTGTGTGTGTGTATCACATTTGCTTTATCTGTTCATCTGTTGATGAGCACCTAGGTTGATTTTATAACTTGGCTCTTGTGCGTAGTGCTACAATAAACATTTCTATATGTGTTGCTTTAATGTCTTTGTGTATATACCCAGGGGTGGTGCAACTGAATCATATGGTAGGTCTATTTTTTAGTTTTTAGGAATATCCATACTGATT